TCACTCCGGACACATTTCACAGATACATCAAATTGAGTCTTAATCATAGCAAAGAATGAGCAAAAAGATGAATAGACCTCGGTTTTGTCATTCAACAAATAAACCCTAACACCCCTTGAGAAATCATCGATAAGGGTCAAAAAATTGTGCGCACCACAAGTACAAGGAGTTTTATACAACCCCCATAGATCACAATGTATAATTTCAAAAATACGGCTAGCACGACTATCACTTATAGGAAAACTATCCCTAGTTTGTTTAGCTTGAGGACAAATTTCACATGCCTTGTGTAAATATTTACTACTAGAAGTACCTCTAATAGCAGGGAGTAACTTGACAACTCTTTCGGAAGGATGCCCCAAACGTCGATGCCACAACTCAAATGCTGAGACCTCCAGACCCGTGACTGCACATACTTTTGGGATGCACCAGAAATAGTAGAGTCCATTTATTCGTTCACCGCTGCCAATCAGGCTCCCCAATTTTTGATCCTGTATAGCACATAAAGAATTAGTGAATCATATATGAAAATGAGAGTCATCAATTAATTTAGAGACCGATATCAAATTGCAATTTAATTTAGGAACAAATAAGACGTGTTCAAGAATAATTCCATCCGCCAGGAAAACACGGCCCTCCTTTGCAGCAATTGCTTGAGCACCGTCGGGAAGACCAACAGGGCATGGTAGAATGGATTGAATATCTATTAGAGAAGACTCGTCAGCCGTTACATGATGAGAGGCGCCTGTGTCAATAATCCACGACAAAGAAAAATAATCATCGATCCTCATGTCTAGAGAACAATCGATGGTGAAATTAGTGTAGGCCATTGCCGTAGCGTGAGCCAGGATAGCAGCAGGCGGCACATTAGCACCGCCAGTAGAGGGAGTAGTGTACGGGGCAGCGGTAGCCTGACTCGTTCCGTGGTTGCCTTTTTTTTTGAGCCACCAATTAGGGTAGCCATGGACCAAAAAACAAGCATCATAATCGTGACCCGATCGATTGCAATGGGTACAATATATTTTAGAGTTTAGAGAGAAAATTTAGGATTCAGAAATTTAGAGGCTTTGATATCACGTCAGGAATTGATTTTCCTTAGTTGTATTAATGTATGAACAAGTGTATATATACAACCTAATAAGAGATTAGGGCTGGTAACATTGACCCATTAGCTATACAATATTAGGCTTAACAGAGGTAGTATTAATATCCAAATTGTTTTCTTGCACTTCTTGTTAATTTGTTGTACTCTAATAATGTTGATGTAACACTAACAATTACTTGTATCAGTTGTATGGTTTCACAAAGTAATGTGGTGCAAGTTCAATTATTCGCATCAATTGACTTGGACTATTTTGGATTTTCAATCAAATTTACTACGGTAAGACTAAGTTTGAATTAAAAATTAAATTGGCGTCGCATTTTTAAATATATATGCATATCATACATCAACTCTAATTCAAATTGAGTTATTTAGAATTTGAGAAAGCAATTGTACAGTTAAGCTAAAAAAAAAAAATTAGAGTTAAGAAAAAAATAATATGAAGTGCTCCGTATAAAGTAATACTTCGTATATCTTAAAGGATAAGTATTACATCGCTTTATAAATTAATTAATATTTTGGGAGAAGATTTCAACAATAATTCAATACAAAGTATAATATAGTTAGTGTTGCTAGAAGAAATTGTGGGATGGAATTAACGTTGATCTGCAAAATCATCAAATGTTATAAATTATGTAAATTGCGTATTCTATTTATAATGTACCTATAAACTTATCTAGTCCAATTTATACTTAATTTTTTAAAGTAAGGAAAATGACCCTAATCATCAGACCTCAACCCTAATAATTTTTTCGATCTGATATTTACGAATTAGATATTTAAAAGTGGGGGGAAAGGATAAGAGATCCACAACCCATCCTCAAACTGACTAGTGAAAATTAAATTTGACAATTTCAACCTCAAAATTAAAAGGTGCAATCTTTCCCATTAAACCAAATGTATGCTTGGCCGTGAAAAATGTAATTGTAGCAATAATCGTTTACATTATTTAACACACCGTATTTATTTTTATTGCATGCCTTTATTCCATGCTTTACTTTGTGGGCCTGTGGCATCATTGTCCCTCACTTCAATCAATTTTACAGATAATTGATTAATTACTTTCAATGTTCGAACTTCTAAGTCTTTGATCAAAATAACACCTTTTGTACTTTATATATAAGGATGAGCAAATTCTGGATTGAGATTGTATTATAAGAGCAATTGTTAATTTTGACTATGAGACGACTTCATAGAGATTTGAGTAACTTAATCCTTGTAACGTAGGACCTACGTGGTTAAATATTGATTTTATGGGTCAATTTTGAAAAATAGAGTATTCCGTAATTGATTTGAGTAACAAATGGTGATCATTAAACACAAAAGTTTATTAAAGCTCAGTTAATGCGATCTACATCTAGTTAATATAAACAGTTGAACAATATATTTCTGATTTAAAAATAAAATAAAAAAATTGATCTCCAAAAGTACTCTATTGATTGACAAAAAAAAACTAAACAAGAAGTTCTAATTATAAGGAAGAATAATAGATAGTGAAAGATAAATTGGTTGGCAATAAATAAAGGTTGTTGTACTCAAGTTCAATCCCTCACATAACTGATACAAGGGAAAATTTTGCATATCTATCCTCTTTAGGTTAGTGAAGCTTTCTATAAAAAAATACATATGATTATAGTTTTCCTCTTCAATCAAATATTAGTTTAGACACCCTCATTTTTAAAAATGAATCTTATTAATTAATTTTTGCAAAGTATAGTCTCATAAGCCAACAAATCATTGCTTATGACCACAAACGATGGTTGTTGTGCTCATAATAGTAATGGTTTTGTTAGAATTTATTGATCATGTGTATTGTTGTTAGATATTCAAAAAAATTAATATTTTTATCAGTAAAATGTATAATTAAATCCTAATTTTTCAACTTTAGAAAAAATAATGGGACGATGAATGTGTCACGACTATTAATTATTAGGAATTATTAAAGATTCTATCTAACTATTGCCAAAAAAAAAATTAAGAAAAAATTTCTATCTATTTAACTGAGTCATTTCAACAAAAAACATCTTTTAGATAACAATGTTTTAGAATTCGTGCTTTGAATAGGCCAACAATAGTATTATGTGGAAGCTCCCAATTTAGAGCACTAATTTAAAAGGTTTGATTTCCATCTTCCTCAAAGTGAGGTAGGGTGGCTTTGAGGTGAAGTACAACTTAATCACAATCACGCGTGTGTGTTCCATATAAATTAATTCAACATGCGCTATATTAGCTTCGAAAGGCATTATATTAATAATAACGTAAATGTGAATAACGGTATTTCCACTCATATATACCTCATAAACTAGCATAAATAGTTGACAATATCTTGACCACAACCAAGATTTGGTCTAATTTAGAAAGTCAAAATATGCACAAGGCGCCAAGGTAAGTAACCAACAATCTACTCAATGTGTCATTTTGCGAAAGGTTCTAGGTCAAACTTTGTGGAACCACCGACTAATTCTTTCAACTTTCAAATATCCAAGTCATCTTTTCTTCAATTCCTTCGTGGAAATTGAGATTAGTGTGCTCCGATAATGATATATACTATTAGGTCTATTATGTACTAATTCAAAATACTACCTTCCGTCGAAATACTAATTCAAAATATTGTTAGTCCTTCATGTCATAATATAGTCTCTGTTTCTCATTTTCTTCGAGAATCAATAAAAGTGTAGTATGAAAATATTTAAAATATTACTCTGTAACAAATAAGAGTGCGACAATTTTATTAATTTAAATCTTTAATATGTTTCTACGAAAATCAATTAAGGTAAGTTGAGATTAATGTGCTTCCGTATTGCATGTTGTACAATAAGGTGTTCAACTTATTTTTACTTATTTCAGAAAATATAAGTTCAGATCAGAAAAAATAAGTTCAGATCAGATCATCGTTTTATGTGCAATTTTTTATCGCTAAATATCATTAATTTCGTAATGAAAAAAATTATGAAAATTACATATTAATGAAATACACATTATTACGAATCTAACAAGATCCATCACACTTGATATATTTTTTCCTTACAGATTATCGCATAATAAGGTGAACTAAACAAGGCCTAAACCATGCATAAACGCTAAGAATAAGGAAAAATGTTGTTTGTAGTGAATAAATACCGTAATACTCCGAGCATGTTCAACATAGCTTTTGAATAGCTTTTAAGTAGCTATTATTAATATTTAATAAAAAAATTGAGTGTTTCACATACTATTACTCCGTAGTACATTTTTGTGCAAGAAGCTTTCCAGTTATGAAATAGTCGAACTGGTCCTTTCTCCTAATCCTCGGGAGAGACCTTTCACATACTAGGGGATTTCGTTTGGGAAAGAAAATGTACCATACTACTCCGTAATGTATTTGGGTCCATAACCATGGTTCCAATTTCGTGGTGAAGGACCTCTAATGCCTCTACATACTAGGTTTTATGTACTAAGCATGCTCTTAATTTTTTATTTATTTTTTTTTTTAATTTTACATGTAGCACATCACCTTCACCTTCTGCCCCAATGCTAACTTCACCGCCCAACCTTTACACCCTTACTAGTTTCAATGACGGTATTATAGGAAATTTAAGCTTGCTCTCTGAGTACTTGAAAAAAAATGTGACAATAATTTCTTAATCATTCCAAAATATACAATGGTTATTATCTTGACATTCCGAAAACAAATGCTGAGGTTTTTTACTGGACACACCCCGGACACGAATATGTATACAGGTCAGGAAGCAACTATCAAGCCATATTCAACCCTTCTCCCAAGCTTATCAAAGCTGTTTGTATTCTCCTAACCATTCATATAGTTAGGAAGAAAATCAAACACCCTTAAGGAAGGTACTCCATATTCAAATTTATTATAACAAGATTTATTATCTCATAAATCATTCGTAGCATCAGCTTGAAAGCTAGTGTTTAGTACTAGCTACTAGCCTCTTATGATGGCAACAAAAGCCACCCTCTATTACAAATTTCAAAAGAAGAATTCATTACGCTAATACCACGAACAAAGGCTAAGACAAAATTGAAACATTAGTTAGTACAGTAAGATGATGCTATACGAGACAGATCTGAGGTCATACTAACTCGAAATTGAAGTAATGAAGATATCGGCGGTGATTTGATCTGCTCAGTTAGGCGGGGGGAAAAAGATGGCATCCGAAGTCCTCTTTGATCTGAACTGATTCTCAATCTCTGGGCTCACATTGAAGGCTGCCTGCAGTACTTCAGCGGATAGTGCCTTCCATGCTGAGGTCTTTCCGGCTAAGTGCGTGAATATTGGGCTGAAAACACCACGATTCATTACATAAATCATTTAAGATAAATCCAATTGATAAAATCCTTTAAACAATAGAGTTGAATAGTTTATCTTGTTAGGGACCTAATTTACGGGTTGTTCAGATCAATAAGCATAACATAACAACGTGAACATATATTGAATTCTTGCTTAGAGTCAGGGAATTAAGGGCACATCAGAATAAGCTGATGAGAACACGATATACAAGACTTCAAGGGAAAGAAACATAAGATAGAAGACCTACTTTGGTGTAGTAATGATAGAGAACCACTCCATCCCCGAAGGATCAGCAATCTTGGAGACCACAAAGAACCTTGGAACAATAAACAACTGCCCTGCCTTCACGGTAGTTTCCAGCACCCTTCTTCCATCAATCCCCGCAACTTGAACTCGGCCACTTCCCCGAACAATGTAGGTGACCTGTAGGGCAGAGTCACAGGAAAAGCCAGGGGAGCACATTGCACTACCATCCAACCTCACGAGATCAGCCCCAAGTCCAACCTCTCCAACCAAGGGCAAATTCTTGGTGTTCAAAACCACCACTCTCCCACCATTTTTAATATCCACATCCAAAGGAGCTTCCTCACAGTTCAACACCATGCCCCTCCTGTTCTCATTCTTGGGTTCAGGCATTTTGGCTGATCCATCAAGCTGCACGATCCCACTCCCGGGTTGATTTCCTACAAGGGAGTTCACTGTTTTTTCATCCAAGTCCCATGCTCGGCCTACAAACTCCGTACTAAATCCAGTGAAAATGCCATTCGAGCCTGTCAAGAAAAAGTCTGTGAATCGGCCTGCTTTGTGGGCTTTCGAGGTGTCACCAAGAAACAGGATCACTAGTTCTGTATCTTCTTTGTTGTACAACCAGGAGACTACGCCAAAGGGGAGGGCTATTGCATCTCCTTTCTTGATTGGAATCACTTTCTCTTCCTTTTCTGGAAGGACAATCCCACATATTCCGCTGCCTGATAAAAAAATTCACAGAACGATTTTGAGTGCAAACATTAATAATGCTTAGTATCTCAACACAAATCCTTTTACTCCATGCTCTAACATTATATCGTCAAAACTAGATGCAACGAACATCGAAATCAAATCCCCTACATTGTTGAACAATGGAATACAAATCAATCCATGATAATGATAACCCTTGATAAATGTTATACACCCCATATTTTATTCATCCAATGTTGTCATACATTTAGATTGAGCAATTTTTACAAGTTGTAACTTTTGATCAAATTCATCCTATAGCAACTCAATGTAAAGCTTCTCATATTCTTATTTAAATTCATTGAAAACGAAATCAAAACCAAATTTTGTGGGGTATATTGTTATAATAGAACCAATTGTTAAAACAAAACATTAATACGGAGTAATGGAATTCCAAGATTGCACTACCAAACTAAACTTGATCGAAACTCAAACATAACCCAAACAAATTACTCATATTCAATCCAACAAAACCAAGAAAATTATGAACAGAATCAAATAATCCAATTCCAAAATTACTTAACCAAATCAAAATATCAAATGACAACTATAATCTACAACAAAATCATGTCAAAACCAAGGAAACATTCCAAACAACCATCAACAATCAATTACATCATAAATATATCACACGATCATCAAAACTACATCTGGGTATTTATAATCTTGCCATGATTTACACCAAACCCATCAAATAAATCAATAAATACAATAAAAAATCAATGAAAATGAAGGGTACCCTGAAGAACATAGGCAACTCTGGAAGAATCAGAATAAGCAGGAAGAGAAAACCCAAATTTCTGAAGAGCAAGTTTCGAAGCGCCAATGTTACCCTCGCGTAACATAGGAAGTTCTGAGTCACACCATGCATAGTATGTACCTCCTGTTCCACCATGAACTTTTGCTGCTAATTGGGGTGTAAGATCAATCTCCATTTTCTCCAAATTTTTTTTTTTTTTTTTTGTTTTTTTTTTATTCTAATATTTTTTGGATTCTGAATTTGAGATGCAATGAAGAAGATTATAATGTTTGATGGAAGAAGGTGAAGTGATAGTACAATTGAATGAAATGGTATGGTATAGCTGATTTTGGGGGGATGGATTTTATTTATAGGTAGTTATTGTTATTAGTCTTATGACCATGAAAATTTATGTTTGTAACAGAATGTGGGAGTATGCGTAATGAATGTAACACACTAATCTTGTGATTTGTGAATGGATTACGGAGCGAAAATGCTTAGTTTTCTTTTTGATGAAAAGAGAGCGAAAATGAATTTAAACGTTAGGGTAGGGATGACAATTTAGATTGAAATGGATACGAGCCTTGATTGAAAAAAAGAAAAAAAAATGCGAGATTCATATTTGAAAATTTGAAGTCTTGAGCTTGTTATGTAAGTGAGTTAGGCAAAAATAATTAATGTTCTACTTGTTAATGTTAGTGTTCGTGAACAGCTGGTTATTGGATGGGTCGAGTTGTTAACAGAGGAAGGTCAAAAGAGGGTCACCTTTTATTGGGCTTAACTGCTTAAGTGGATCAGGTCAATGGGCAGGCCAAAACCAACAAAAAAAATGGAGGAAAGGGGGTGATAATTTAGACCCTAAGAAAATATATAAGTAATTCTAAAACATAAAGCATAAAATAGGCCCAAAAAATAAAATTGTATCGGACATAACAAAAAAATATAAGTCAAAACCAGGGCACGTTGCTCTTGGACCCCGATTCACTTAATGTGCAACAAGACCCCATGACAGTTGTTCGATTCAAGGCATAATATTCTAGTTAAGTAAATATAATTTATTTCAATTGTATGGCCATGTTTATTTCACCTTTAAAAAAAAAAAATATTCAGCAAAAATAATTTATCTTCAGTAAATATAATTTCGGTTCAGTAAAAATAAGTTTAGTTAAGTAAAATTAATTTCGAGTCAATAAAAATATTTTCAGTTCAATCAGTAACTTTAAAAAAATATATATTAGAAAATCAGTAAAAATAATTTCAGTTTAGCAAAAATAATTTAGCTCAATAAAATTAATTTTAGTTCAGTAAAAATAATTTAAGTTCAGCAAAAATAATTTCAATTCAACAAAAATAAGGTGAAGTGAACAGGGCCTAAGTCAAAACTTTGGTATCTAACCTTATTACTAGAACTTATAATACTTTTCTTGCTTTCTTTTGTTTGAACTTAACTTATTTTCCCTCGTTATTTTATTTTTATAGGGGTCTTTTATATGAAACATACTCCTTGTAACCTAAAGCTCGGTGCAAATGAAAATGAAGTGTTACTTTGTTAGTCTATATCCTTAATTAATAGACGGCCTACCTACCATTTCACGTATTGCGCACACAAAGAAACAAGGAGATACCGAGACAGGGAGTAAAAACGAGAGCACCAATTGCAATCACCATAGTTGCTACTTGCTAGAAGTAGACAACACAACGTAATTTCATCATATGAGACGACTAACTTGAATAAAACGATTATTATTTGGAGCTAATTAGAAAGGGATTATACACCAACCAAGTAATTTACCAATAAAGGCATGAACAATAAAAACCTTTGAATATTATTTTGTGTTTATTTCCATACATATGGCAATTCTTAATATGATGATTAACAAAAGCATTTAATTGTATTGACAATATATACACTTTCATTATTGTAGATAGGTTAATTATAATAAATAATACTAATATATAGATTACCAATAATAATAAAATAATTAATAAATATTGATATGAATATTTCCTCTATTTCTTCTTAAGCAACTAGCTCCAAAGGTAAGCAACAAGGAATCATAGTTTGATTGGCTCGCTACATCGAATTTCTAAGTTATAGTACTTATAAACTACAATATTCATCAATGGTTCTACGGTTGTACCTAAGCTTGCAATAAATATTTATTTGATTTATATTTCTTCTACTTAATCAGAATTTCACAAACGGTGTAGCTTGGTTGAGCATTGTCTTTGTTTTACCTATAACCAAACACACTGTAAGTAACGAAGTAAGTATATCAATTTAACGATGCAATAACTTATATATATGCTAGATATTTTCAATAATTTTACAATAAGCACGTCATTTATGTATACCATACAATTAAAAATGCTTATTAGTAGACCTGACAATCCTGACCCAGACCCGAATGACCCGACCCATGACCCGAAAACAGTGACCCGAAACCCGAAATCAACCCGGCCCGATCCATACCCGACCCGAAGTGGAATTGACCCGAAACCCGAAATGACCCGACCCGAAGTTGACCCGAGACCCGAAATGACCCGACCTGAAGTTGACCCGAAACCCAAAGTGACCCGAGACCCGAAGTTGACCCGATACCCAAAGTGACCCGACCTTTAACTTGAATTAATTGACCCAAATAGACTTGACCCAAAGTGACCTGAACTAAATTACTTTATACCTGAAATGACCAGAATCTATTTAAGCCAACGATTTGACCTGAGCAAACCGAAATAGAAAATAACCGCAATCAAACTGACTTAATTTTTATTTTATTTTTATTAATTTGTAATGTGTAACAGTGTAAGTAATTTACATATTTTGAGCATTACTTTTCTCGATTTCTTTGACTTTTTCTCTTTATAAGTTATTAAAAATTCGTAAAAAGATTGAAATTTAACGACTATTCTACGGCGTTTGTCCATAAGATTAAGAAAAAATTTACTAAAGCTTGAAATAAAAATCACAATTCTCACAAGTTTAGAAAAAAAAAATAGTACAATAATAATGCGTACATAACATAATGTTCAATACCAAATGAAATTACAAAATATTCTAAATAATTATACTCCAATACTCGACTCTTAAAATTGTTAGCATTTAACACTTGGAGCCGCCGTCCAATCCACATAAGAACCAAAAAATCCATCATCCTCATTTTCTACATAAATATAAAAACAATAATATAAGCAAATACACTATAAATGCAAAAATAAAGAAACAAGAATGTATAGCTCTAAAAAATGTAGGAATATGAATATACATATTTTTAAAAAATATAATAAAATACTTACTTTCAAAAGAGTACATCCAACTACGAGTTGTTATTAAAGCCTCCACATTTTCAGGAATTGATGAACTTTTCCATTTATTCAATACTCGACTCCCAATGCTGAAAGTTGATTCGGAAGCGATGGTTGTCAGGGGCACGACCAAAATATCTCTAGCCAAATGAGATAGGCCTTTATATCGATGCTCATTTTCTTTCCAAAAAGCTAATATGTCAAGCTCCGCTTTCCGATCTAGTTTAGGGTCCTCAAGGTAAACATCCAATATTGACCTCTCACCAAAAGAAGATGAGGCCTCTTTATCATCATATTCCTGAATTCAACACAACGAGTCAACGACAAACCATAAAACACATCACCAAACAAAACAACATAAACTTAACTTATCATCTTAATAACAACTACTTAACTTAAGGCAAATATGTAAAAAAAACAGTCTAATCAATAGATTAAGAATGAAGGATAATCAAAAGGATTATAATTGACAGAACAAATAAAGTAAACACAAGAAAAATAGAAGGCAAATATGTAAAAAACAGTCTAATTAATAGATTAAGAATGAAGGATAATCATAAGGATTATAATTGACAGAAAAAATAAAGTAAACACAAGAAAAACAGAAGGCAATATGTAAAAAAGAGTCTAATCAATAGATTAAGAATGAAGGATAATCAAAAGGATTAAAATAACACAGAACAATTACCACAAAATAGTCGAATTTCGCTTGCGGTTTCCAGTTGAAGTGCTGCTTATGGAGGCTCTGGAATGTGAGGCATGTGCCATATCGGTGTTGGTGTTCAATGTCGATGATGTTCCAGTTTGGGCATATAGTTTATAAAATTTCTCCAACTTAAGATGGAGATCACTAACTCTCAAGGTAGCCTCAACATCTCCAAATATGTTTTCATAACAAAACTTTAGCACTGATAATTTGCAACGAGGATCAAGAATCATAGCAAATGCAAATAACATGCCATAATCATCTTGTTCTGAGTTAAACCAATACTTATCAAACTTGCTCTTCATTTCTATTGCCATTGTCCTCAAAACATCATCATCATCGTGCTCCAACTCTATCAACGAGGATCGAGAATCTTCCAAACATTCCCAAAATAAAGATTTGAGGTAGGATACTCACTTCCCGAAAACATCTTAGTTATCTCATAGAAGGGTTCTAAAACATCTCGAATCTTCTCAAGAACATCCCACTCTTCAAAGGTATGACACCATTTTTGAACTTCAGACATCTCCCCAAAAGCCTCACGATATAAGATAGCCCTATCAAGCATCATGTATGTAGAGTTCCACCTCGTAGGAACATCAAGCCACAATGATTTTGTTTCTTTTATCTTAGCTAGAGTTACACAAGATCGAAAAGTGTTTTTTCTTGTTTCAGAATATTTTACCTTCTTCAAAAAATGCCTTACTTTCTCAACTATATGTTCAATGACCTTAAGTCCATCTTTAACAATGAGATTTAATACATGTGCAGCACATCGTACATGAAAAAACTCACCATTGTACAACAAAACATCTCGTGCAAGTAGATTTCCTTCAAATAATCTTGCATTCTATCATTACCAGAGGCATTGTCTAATGTGAAGCAAAAAAACTTATCATCAATACCCCAATCTTGAAGCATGGACAACACAGCAGCATACATGGTATTTCTAGTGTGTGGTGAATCAATATGACTAAAGTTAAGCACTGTACTAATTAATTTCCAATTGTCATCCACATAGTCAGCCGTCAGACACAAATATCCCTCAGTTTGACAAGAGGTCCACATATCACATGTTAATGAGATACGACTAGAGACTTTACTAAGTGTTTCCTTTAACTAAGCCTTCAAAGTTTTATGCATTTTTAAACAATCAGCTTAGCAGTGTTCTTACAAATGAATTTTACATCATCACTTAAATATGCATGAGGTTCTCTATTACCATCATGCTCAACCCAAGAGAAAGCATACCCATGTTTTATTATGGCTTTAGCTACCAGATTTCTGTACACAATTTGGTTAAAGATTTTACCTTTGTTTGAACCGTTTCCTCCTTGGTTTTTCATATATTTCTCATACGCACTGCATTTTCTTAGATGTCTTTGCATATTTTGGGTTCCATAATGGGGGTCGATTATGAAGGCTGCTTTTTGGAAATGTTTGCAAATTGACCTCTGTTTCCCATCACTAGATTCCGTCTTGTCAAACGTGAGGAATTCCGGCCAAACTAGACTCTGTTTCTTTTCTAAGGCTTGAAATCCAGATTCCATAGTGCTCACATTGTTGTTTTCAATTGTAAGTTCAGGATCACCGGCTTCTTCCTCTTATGTACGAACATTGGCTTCTTTCTCTGGTGTACACTCATCCTCTGTACCCTCTGGTGAAATAATAGGCTCGTCATAATGATTATCCATTGCTGCAAAAAAAGCAAGAATATTATCATTAGTTATTGTCATATTAAGATAAGGTGTAGCATCTCTTATCCAATAATGTTCAAATATTTGAATCATAATTCTGAAACTAATATCCACACAGAATTTGAAATGTTGCAGACAAAATAATAATATCTAAACTAATCAAAAAGGGAAAATCAACCTTCTGTTTTTATATACATTCAAATTAAGGCCATGTCAACACACTTATAAAAGATATTTGTTTGTTAGAATGCAGCTTGCTTGAACTAACAGATAATCAAAGAATGAAAATTCGAAAAGTGGTCACCTTAACAGTTAACACCATGTAACTAAAAATCTAAAATAGCCC